TATCTGGACACCTAACCATTGTAAGATTTCGGGTCAATTTTTTTTCTGTGGGTGACCTGATAATATAATGCCGTTCTTTTAGAGGACTATACATGACCCACGTGCTGTACTTGATAGCGAAAGGTAAATATCACCTTCACGTTATTCTTTTTATAAAATAACAGTCTGGTTTTATCCAGACATCGTATAATACAGCTTAGGACGTGGGTCTCCATTTCCAAATGAAAACTGGCGGGTTTAAGTTGTTAGAAAACGTATCACGTTTATTGAGTTAGTTGCTCGGCCCTTAGGTAGAGAATTTTAAGGGCCTTTAACACAAAATTAAGCAGTTTTAGTCTCCAAAATATAATCGAGATCGGCCCTTTAACTGGACGCAGCATTGTAATGTTCTAATTTCGTATCCAATGTGTTTTAGTAGACGCGCTGGCTTTACATATTGCGCTGACTCAAATTTTATTATTCAAAATTTTGACCCATTTTGTCAATGTGTTAATCTTAAATGGCATTATTTAAAGCGGCATTATGGAAGAAGATTAGATAAAGAGCGGACAGTTCTCGCTAATAGGTAATTTAAAGGGAATATGTTGAATATTTCAGTCAAATAACGTCACTCTAAGCCGAGAAATCCTCATAACACTGTAGCCTCGATTGTCATTTTACATTTGTTACAATAATAAACAAAGTCTCGATTATCCATTTTATGGTTAATCATCACCGGCCGTTGAACAGCAGATCGGGTGCAAATCTGTGGAAAACCGGACTCATCAGATGGCATCGAGAGTTGATTAAGGTCATACCATGTTAATAATAGTTTATATAACATTTCAGGCCTAAAGAAAGACCTGCAATAGACATATTTAGCTCTTGCATAATGACTGTTTAATCATTTATCTTAAGAACAAATTATGATTATTAGACATAATACCAATATATTTTACAATTATTCGATATGAACAAACAAAAGTGGGCAAACAAAAGTCGGTTGAGGTAGATTGGCCTTGAAGCTTATTATTTGGTTCCGCAGGGTGGTAACAGAGGAAGGGAATACATTATTACAGCTAAAGTTATTCTTATATTAAGTGGAGAGAGAGAGAGAGAGAGAGAGTTTAACGTCCACAACTAGGTAATTTCGGGACTAACATGGTTCTATTTTATTTCAATAATTTGCTTGACCACGCCAGTTGACTCAATGGCAGATCTTATGATGCAACGCGCACGCGCTAAAAATTCGCCCCCCCCCCCCTAATTAAGTGGACAATCTTTGGTATATTATACTATATTTGCGGCTGGTATTGTAATCTCCTTAGATTTAAAATATTTTAAAGTACACTTGTGATTACGCGAGTCGTAAGGGTATTACTAATATAGTTGATTTATCTAATATATAATAATTGAAGAAGCGCAACCTTTTATTCCATTATATAAAATCCCCTTGGCTTTTATATTCTAACGCTGGTTGTGTGGGTGTGGGTGTGGGGAGCTAATATCATAGTCTACCATGTAGTTCAAACTATAGCTGCAATTAGCGACGGGTAACTTGTGTTATTTTCTTGAACATCTGATGCATCCATCTTGTTTGGAAACTGACAAACTATATTCGGGTTTGTTTTTTTGTTTGTTTGTTGTTTTGGTGGGGGGGGGGGGCATAAACTAAACATACGTAACGGTAAACAGAAAGCTTATGATTTGATGTATATCAGAAGGAAAGAGTAAACGTGGTAGATTCTTTGAACTAAGCGAATTTTATTGTATTTTTGTGTATTTATTATATCTACCGTACATATACTTTCAAGTATATAGATACTGGTGGCGGGAGGGGGTCATGTCATCTGGTTTTATATCGAATGAGACTTAAACCAGTTCTAATTCTAGCAATCTTAGCGGTAGAGATAAACTGTATAGCTTGATAACGGTACTATATTAAAAGGTTGAGCTAATAATCTCATATAAAAATATTTACGCTGAGTAACGAATGAATCCCTAGTTCTGACTATCTAGTAAAGAGAAGTATTAAAGTATTAGTAAAAATCAATTGCATGGCGCTGATCAGATAATTTTTTAGGGTGTAATGAAGTTTTTAACACGCCAGATTTTCTTAATTAGCCATTTGATGTAGCGGCTTGAGAAAAGGGTCTAGTTAAGAGTTTGGGAATCTGTAATCAATATTCTGATAGAACTACTGAAACGAACAGTTCCAAGCATTATTAAAGCTCACGCTTCAAATATTTCAGCTTCTTTCTCCATCTTCTCACTTCTCTGTTAATAGTGCAGATTGCCATCGTGGATACTTAATACCAACAATGGAATTTTCTGGGGATATTTCACGGTCAATTTGTAATTTATAAACATGCTGTGAACAAAAAGCTATTTCACTAATAATTAAATGATCGGTTAGCTAACACCGGGATTAATCATAACACTTTTATCAAACAGTAAACCTTTCTTACTGTGTCAGTTGTTATTTGATATCATTTCACTAAAGAAAGTGTAAGTACAACTGAAATATGTCGAAGTGCCTTTCTGGAAAATGTAAGCTAACCCCGGTTCTTGTACGACACCCTGAAGTACATTTCTGTTGAAAGTATGCACAATATTTTGTCAGAGTTGCCAAACGTCTCTCTAACAGCGTCTTTAAAATCGGAAACAATTGATCATTTATTCGTCAGAAGGGAGGAGGACGTGGACTCGACACAATGCAGGCCATTTGAGCGTAGTGTTCGCATACAAGCGTGGGGTCATCAGTTGATTCAGCGCACGCGTTAAACCATTCAACCGGCCAACCCCACTATTCACTATAGATTAGTGAACAGTTTTGTGATAGTAAACCGGCCTCGATATAGTTTGACATTGATCTGACATCGTTATTAAGTTAGATAATTATATATAACTATTCGCTTGACTAAACAATTGATTAACTAACGAGAGGATGCCTCATGGGTACTGCTGTTCTTCGGTCATGGCTATGCTAAATGCAACATTTAAATTTTAAAAAAGCCAATAAGCTATAATTTTCTAATACAGGCATATTAATACACTGCTGATTTGCTACAAATTAACGGTTTCTTTTTGTAGATATTAGGACGACATTAACATTAGAAATTTTACTTCGTAACAACTTTTTGTTCTTACTTTACAAATTAAAGCCCAGCAAAGGTTTTGTCTGATTGATAATTCGGGCCCTTGAGTCTGGCCCCGTTAGGATCCTTACTCTAAAAGGGCGTCCCACCGTGCGCCAGGTTTTTGTTTAAAACTGACTGTAAATGGTGCTTTCTAGCGTATATTTTGGGCATCAAACCTACAGAAACTACAAACCACCTAACAGACTATTTAGCGTGTGGTAATCTTGGCGTTTGAATAACAGCCAGAATCTGATAATAAGTTTGGTCAAGCAATGATTTTCTCCTAATATTCGCTCTACATTGACTCAGAAATTGTATTGAAACCGTAAAACCATTAACTGGTAAAGCCAGTGAAATGCTGTTTACCCACTCAAGCGAATGGAATTTCTGCCACAACCGATCAACACGGTATTAACTGTTTCAATGGTTATATGGTGGCGGGAATATGGTCTGCGTAACCGGTAGTTTTGCGCTCCATTCAGATCAAGATCATTTCCGTAGTACTTTGTTGTGGATTTCTCCTAGGAAATGAACGTGAAAACCCAACTCAAAAGATTTGCTTTAGTCCATATTAGCGAAATGAAATGAACACTAAATTGTGTTTCGTTTGGCCCTAAATGCTCTGATTTTGTATATTTTTGTAAACTTGTATACTTTGTCGGTCTGCATGACTGACCACACTGTGTGCCACATTGTCGACCAAAGGGCCAAGAGAAAACACAATGTGTACTGTTGTCCGGAAATTCGAGGCATCGTTCATAATAATTAGTCCTTGATATAGTGCACTGAGTTGATAGGATGCGTTTTACTGCGGGGTAGAAATGTTTGTTTGTTTAGGTCTTTTAAAAATTTGAACGAATATACCACAGTTTTAAGCCCACTTCCTCCATTTATATGTTATTCTTTGAAATTTATAAATGTATAGTTATCAGCTCAATAGGATTAAAATCAGATGTTATTTACGTTTCGTTTCATTTCGTTTTATCTTTTATGTTCTTCTGGCAGAAAATGATTTTGATGGAAAACAGGTTATATGGCAATGCAGTATTACAATTAGAAAAAAATAAACGAAACGAAATTTTAATAAGATTGAAAATCAACTAATCTGTTTAAAATAGACGTGAAGCTGTCGAATTTGATCTGCAATTTGGATCAGTTTAGTTGCCCTTCCATTCTAATCAATTTTAAATCTTATTTGTTCTCAATCGGTTGAGAATTGACGGAGTAAACGCAGTTTTAGAAAATTAGCTGTTTTTAACTATACTTGAGCATGCAGTGACAACGGTACTAGCTAGTTCTGTAGGGCTTAACTTCCTCAAATGGAATTTCAACATAGTATTAAGCGAAAACTTTTTAACGAAGATCATTTTATAATGGGTTGGTAGTTTCCCGAACCGTCTTAAACGGCATCATTACTAATTGGAAATCATCTTTTGAATTGTTGTTTATCATTTGTATGACAACTGTCCCTTTAAACGTATCCTTGTATATGCCACAAGTCCGAAATTACTTATTAGTGTACTTGTAGTAAATCGAAAAATCATGCTTCATTTACTATTCCCAGGTATTTTATTATTTATTTGGGATAGACTAAACACCGACCAGAACATTTGTTGTCAATATCACCCAAAGTATTGCAAAAAATGTCCTACAAGGAAAAATATGATTTGGGGCGCTATTCACAACAGAAACGTTCTTGTCGCTGATTAGTGGGACTGCTTATTTTTAAAATTGTAATTTATGACAAAACGTATAATGTTTCAATTTTACGATAGTGCATCTTGAAATCAAAGCCATGCACCTGCAATGGATTTTCTCATCTTTTTTATTTTTTTCTGTATTAAGATAAACATAATGTTTTATAATTTCTTTTTTTTTCAGACCACCTTTTAAAAAACCCAGCACACAATGGCACAGAAAACTCGTGGCTTATTTCTGTGGATGACATCTACCCTATGTTTTATTAGTGCCACCTTAGCCGAAAGTAGTTCTTCGGGTGAGGTTTCCGAAGAACATGCTTCTTCTTTAGACAATTCGCACATGGACAAACGTAGCATGGACAAATTTGGTTTCACTGGACAATTAGGAAAGCGTGGTTTAGATAGATTTGGATTTACAGGACAGCTGGGTAAACGTGCAATGGATGCGCTTAGCTTCGCTGGACAACTTGGTAAAAGAGATATGGACACCTTCGGATTTACAGGACAACTAGGAAAACGTGGGCTTGACCATTATGGCTTCACGGGACAACTCGGAAAACGTGGACTTGACCATTATGGCTTCACAGGACAACTTGGGAAACGCGACATGGATCACTATGGTTTCACAGGACAACTAGGAAAGCGGGGTATGGATCATTACGGTTTCATAGGCCAGCTTGGAAAACGCGGGTTAGACCAATATGGTTTTACAGGACAACTTGGAAAACGCGGACTGGATCATTATGGCTTCACAGGACAGCTTGGCAAACGCAGTATGGACCAGCTTGGTTTTACAGGTCAACTTGGGAAACGTGGAATCGACCAATATGGTTTCACAGGACAACTTGGAAAACGGCGCATGGATCAATATGGCTTTACAGGACAACTTGGAAAACGTGCAATGGATAGATTTGGTTTTACAGGACAATTAGGTAAAAGACAGGTTGACAGGTTGGGATTTATCGGCCAATTAGGAAAGAGACAAAGTATAGACAAATATTCATTCCTTGGTGCGGGAATAGGAAAACGTTCCGTTGAATCCACAGTAAGTAAGCAATTTCTTACAGTTTCTGATTTCTTTCAGTTCATACAGGAGTACTTTATTGTCATATCCATTTTTCTTTTTTTGAAATGAGGTATAGAGCTATTTTTGAACATCGAACCCTCTATATACTAGATTTATATATTTTCTTCTGCATTCAAATCCCAGGGATGCTGATTATTCTGGTGGCATGTTATCTCGGGGTTATCGTTTTCCCGGTTTCTTCGGATTCTTAGATTCAGGAACAAATAATTGCCAATTTAGCAATCAGCGACGGGTGTCATGTACTAAGCCGACTGTGCATATTATTTCTAGACTAGATGGTACAATTCCTTATATGAGAAATTCACAGAGGTAACACCCTTTAGTTACACTGGCAAAACATTGAGACATTGAATAGCACCAATCCATGAATGCGGTCTGTAAACATTAAATGTCGCTATCCGATTAGCTTCCAAGAAAGGTAGTAATGTTTTATCTGAATAAATTAAACACATAATTGACCCAAATGTCCCTTTTTATATACTATTCAAAAAAAGTAGGGAATATTTGATTTTTAAGTGTTATTAAAGTCACCTAATGAAACTGACGAAGAAACAAATGACAAAATGAAATGAAGTTCACATTCATCGATTTATTCCAAATGATCGTTAGACTAAGTAAGGCACAGACTGACCATTATAAGGGTAAAATGATACCCGGGGTCAAACAGCAAAGTTACCACAGCATCACAACCAAGTCAGTAACGGGTAAATCCTCCTCTGTTTGCCAAACAAGCATTGATCCGACGTGGCATACTCCTAATGAGACGCCTAAGGTCATTTTGGTCCAGATTGTCCCATTCCTGTTGCAACGCAGCAGCAAGTTCTTGGACATTGGCAGGACGTTGTTGACGTTGACGTAACCTCTGTCCAAGCATGTCCCAGACATGCTCGATGGGGGAGAGGTCGGGACTCAGTGCTGGCCAAGGTAATGTGGTGATGTTCTGTTGTTGGAGGTAACCTGTAACGATCCTGGCCCTGTGACATCTTGCGTTGTCATCCTGGAAGATGAAACGGCGGCCATGACGTCGTGCGAACGGCACAACATGGACTGTCAAGATGTTGTCCCGGTAGTACTGGCCTGTAACACGCCCTGCAACAACATGTAAAGCCGTTCTTCCAGCAACAGTGATGCCTCCCCACACCATAACAGAACCACCCCCAAATCGATCATGTCTGATGACGTTAACGTCTTGGAAGCGCTCGTTTCGACGACGCCACACCCTCCTACGTCTGTCCAAAAAATCAACAGTGAACCTTGACTCATCTGAAAACATCACATTGCTCCAGCGTCGATTATCCCAGTGTTGACGATCCCTACACCAACGACGTCTTGCCTGAATGTGATGATCTCTCAAACAAGGGATCACGCGAGGACGTCGGGCGCGAAGGTGACCCCTATGCAGTCGATTCCGAATCGTCTGGCCACTCACTCTCACACCAGTGTCTGTTTGAAGACGAGCGCTGATCTGATTTGCTGTGATGACACGATTTCTCAAGGCCAAGGTACGGATAAATCGATCCTGGGCTTGAGTTGTCGCCCTTGGTCGACCTGAGCGTGGTCTGTCCTGTACAGATTGTGTATCACGGTATCTGGACCATAGCCTGCTTATGACAGACTGAGAAACATTCATCGTCCGCGCCACAACCGCCTGTGTTGTGCCGATCTGTAGCATGCCAAGGGCACGTAACCTTTCATTTTGGGTAAGCCGACGCATATCAAAATTTGTTTTCTGGTCACTAAAACAATTAAACTGATGTTTCCACCCTGGAATTCAATGCCACAATGACTGTAACATTCAAAGTCAGAGTCGTGCAAATCTTGGGTTGGACCCCCATGATGATCCCAAGCATCACCTGCATTCCATGCGGTAGCTATTGGTGCGTTTGGGCGTCACATGTAACTGGAAATGTTTCTTCTGTTAGGTTCTATAGTGACTTTTTTCGTAGTCATTTGCATATTTTAGTATTATGCCCCCAAAATCAAATATCCCCTACTTTTTTTGAATAGTATATTAAATGACAAATAGTCAACACTGTAATATGTTCTATGTTCTAAAATAAAATGTTTTAGATGCTCATTAGAATTAAAATTAGTCTCGCGAGCGAACTCAATAGCTATTGGTGCGTTTGGGCGTCACATGTAACTGGAAATGTTTCTTCTGTTAGGTTCTATAGTGACTTTTTTCGTAGTCATTTGCATATTTTAGTATTATGCCCCCAAAATCAAATATCCCCTACTTTTTTTGAATAGTATATTAAATGACAAATAGTCAACACTGTAATATGTTCTATGTTCTAAAATAAAATGTTTTAGATGCTCATTAGAATTAAAATTAGTCTCGCGAGCGAACTCAATAGCAAAGATGGTTTCGGTGACATGGTGTGTAAGGCGCATATTTATTTACCATGAGGTTATGGGTTCGATCACGGTGTTGGCCAGAAAAGTTCTTTGGGATTATATTGCCTGGTTTCCCTCTTGCCAATTTTACATGGCAGAAGGCCTTGCGATGAGAACACGTCTAGTTGTTCGGATTGGACGATAAACCACTCCTGTACTCGGTGGTGTGCATACTAAAAGAGCCCTTGGTAGTTGAAGAGTAGGCGCAAAAGCTGCTATCCGGGAACAATTTGTCTTGTAGCACACTACATGTCGCATGACCCTGGACACTAGTACGTTTCATTCATTCAATGAAAGATGTATTTAGGAATACATATTTTGTCAACATTAAATTCAGTGAAGATCAGAACATCTCTCCTCTCTGTTTGCGCATATAAGTGTGAATCGTACGTATACCTACCTAACTTTACACCAAGTATACCAAAGTACCATAATGACTCGTGTTTTATGTTATTTAGATATTTTGTATTATTTTACGTAAAGTGCCTTCATTCCGAAACACCGATTCTAAAATTCAGCGTCACTTTAATTTGTTTAGTTAATATTATGTAACTAGAATCCAATTGCAATTTTAGAATCTATAGATCATAATACGCGCTAGGATGACTTCTGGTGAACTTTTAAGGGAGACACTAAATAAGATTAGATACAGTTTTCGTTATAATAGTTGCAAAATAGATAATGAAAAGAGAACATGCTGTACATATCAGTGAAATGGCTTCACTCTGAACCGAGATGTTAGCAATTCAATTTTAGGCTAGCCTCGATATCCATTACTTATGTTGGTACGATAATAAACAAATTTTTTTTTATTCATTTTCACGTTAAATATTCCATCACAAAACGTATTCAAATCCACTAAATATCACAGTTTAACTATGGCATCGACGGTTGAATATGGTCTTTGATTATGGTCTTGCTAAGTTTACGACCTAAAGGACCTGCAATAGGCAGAGGTTTAACCCTTCCATAATGCATGTTTAAGTCGCGCTCATATTCTATTTCAGAAGAAAATATAACCAACTAGAGACTATTTGAAAATATTACTACATTATTCAACCATTTGTTCAATAATTTACATAATGCTAAATTTATATAATTAACCTTGTAGGAAAAATGTCTTCATCGAAATCGATAATTATTTTTTCTACTTTCCCACGAAAAAAACAATCAAGTATAAATCTTATAATCTTGTTACAACATTTCTCTGAATTTGTTTTTTCAGTTATTGGATTTTTCATAACCTTACAATTGTTTAGGTTGCATTAGTGGTTCTCCCCACCGTCAGCAAGATAAACCAGTTACTGATCATAACCACACTCAGATACTGTACTTTCAGAAAAACTATGTTATTACAAAACATACTCTTAACATGGTCTTGGACATTTCCATTTGCCATCTTGTAAGAGAAAAACGTGGAAAATCGGTAAAGAGCTATTTGGAACTATGTTCAATCCAATTCTTCGAAGAATAAAAAAAATCTTCCGGCACTTATCAAAATTATTCCATTTCGTGTTCATGCAGTTTAGATGGCAATTACAGCCTTGGTAAGCTCAATAAAAGATATTGAAAATGTCCACGTGAAGTGTTACACGTAATCAATCAGCGTGAGATTCACACTAAAAGTAGAGAAGTGACGTGGAAATACTCTGAAATTTTACACAGTCTAAGATAATTGCTAACATGTATTAAATTGATATTTTAAAAAATCTTCAATAAAACCATTTATCACTCCGGCATTTCGCTGATGGCAGACAAGATAGCTTTTAAATGTCATTTTCTATTATTCATATTTATCACATTTTTCAACATGTATACTTGTACACAGCGTATATTGGATTTAAATAAATAACATAATATTAGACAAGATTCAGTGATTTGTAATGGAACAAATCCTGAAAGACGATTCCGCTAATATGAGCTATTCTAAAATGGATTCATTTTTTTATAACAGTAACACCCTATTAAATCAAATACACTTGATGGCATGAATTATAATATATTTAGAAGTAAAATGTATAATCTTCTTTCTTCATCAACAAAACATTGTGATAGTAAAGCAATGTTAAATTATTTTGTTTATAGTATCGCCGACTATTCATTGAAATATAGCGTTGGATTTTAGAAGTTGTGTAGTACTGCAGTTTGTCTTGGGGATGTGGTTGCACTTCTTTCTTATTCAGATGCCGTTTGGAGATATCCAAACTCTTTTGCCATTTACAACTGCTTACAGTGCCAGATTTACCTATTGGCTTGGCAGGCTAAAGCTTACGGCATCGCGATATTTGGCCCAAAACTCGCTTGCCTCCGGCCAAGGCACATAATATTTTTAACAAGCCTTTCTTCCATGCACTGTAGTCTTCAACATCCTCCATGATCCTCGACTTTGCTCAATTGTGTTTAAACACGTTTTCGTCTTCCTCTAGTCGTGTGAGTGGGGGATTGGACAGGACTTCATAAGTGGAATTTCGAGGGCCTCTCTTCATCTAAATCTGGCATTGACAGCCTAGTGTTATCATCATTATTATCATTATAGGTGTCGCTTTCATAATTATAAATAA